TCCCGTCACTGCTGTTGAAAATGAAAATCGATTTGACCCCACTAACAATTAGAAGATCAAACTAATATTCTTGAAACGAAAATTCTTGAACGAAAATCTATACATGTATGGCCAGCTTAAGTTCACCTTTGGGAACACGTTACATGTTCCACCTGTTTTTAGGGTGAAACATGCAACATGTTCCCACTGCTGCAGACACGGCTCGCTATCCTCTCTCCCTGTGACAGCAGCATGGGAAGAAGTTCCCCGTACTAGCTGTCATTTTCTGAAAACAGCGTGGCCTTGCAGGGTTCTGGCCGCCACGTCACTCATTCGCAGGATTGTATGAATAGAAAACTACAAGTCCCGACAGTCTTTGCGGCTGTCACAGGGGCGGACTGACCATTTGGAAACTCAGGCACTGGCTGAGGGCCCGGGGTCAGTAGGGGGCCCCATGAGATGCCCCTGGTACCTTTTTCATAGGCTTTTTTGAGTTTGGGCAAGGACACAGGGACCCCACGATCCCCTATTGCCCGGGGGCCCCATGAGTTGTCAGTTCGCCCCTGGGCTGTCGGCTTGTAGTTCTCAATGAACTCCCATTGCATGTTGAGCGCTCTAGGTAATTCATTGATTCTTCTTGTCTTTGTGTATCTGCCTGTACGAGGTACGAGCACAGAAATACACTGACAAGAATGCATGAGTCCTGCATGGCACCCGCGATCTGCTGATTGTGGGTGCAATCAGCAAAATAATAAATAATAAATGCACATGTTTTACCTGCAATTATATATTTTTTTTAAATGTGAACATATTCTTTAAAGCTACAGAGAGATGGAAGTAATTTCAATGTGTTGCAAAAACAATCAATACCAACAAGAGGTTATCTCACCTAGTATTATTTATGTCAGGGGTCTCCAAACTTTCAAACTAAGGGCCAATTTAATGTCCTTCACACTTTAGGGGGGCCGGATTGAGGACAGTGGGGGTAGAAAATGTCCCATGCCAAACATTAGTGATAACAATATGGCCTCAGGGTTGGTGGTCAGTAGGAGGAGGAGTAGTGCCAGATCAATGGTATCAGTGGAAGAAATAGTGCCCATAATTGGTGTCAGTGGGAGGAATTGGAGTCAGTGGGAGGAATAGTACCCATGATTGGAGTCAGTGGGAGGAATAGTGCCTCATAATTGGTGTCAGAGGGAGGAATAGTGCCCCATAATTGGTGTCAGTGGGAGGAATAGTGCCCCAATAATTGGTGTCAGTGGGAGCAATAGTGCCACATAATTGGTGTCAGTGGGAGCAATAGTGCCCCATAATTGGTGTCAGTGGGAGGAATAGTGCCCGATGACTGGAGTCAGTGGGAGGAATAGTGCCTCATAATTGGTGTCAGTGGGAGGAATAGTGCCCAATGACTGGAGTCAGTGGGAGGAATAGTGCCCGATGACTGGAGTCAGTGGGAGGAATAGTGCCTCATAATTGGTGTCAGTGCGAGGAATAGTGCCCGATGATTGGAGTCAGTGGGAGGAATAGTGCCCCATAATTGGTGTCAGTGGGAGGAATAGTGCCCGATGATTGGAGTCAGTGGGAGGAATAGTGCCTCATAATTGAGTCAGTGGGAGGAATAGTGCCTCATAATTGGTGTCGGTGCGAGGAATAGTGCCCTGATGATTGGAGTCAGTGGTAGGAATAGTGCCTCATATTGGTGTCAGTGAGAGGAATAGTGTCCCATCATTGATACTAGTGGAAGAAATAGTGCCCCATCATTAATGTCAGGATTATGCCCTACTGTTGGTGTCAGTTGGAGGAATAGTGCCCGTTGATTGGAGTCAGTGGGAGGAATAGTGCCTCATAATTGGTGTTAGTGGGAGGAATAGTGCCCCATCATTAGTGTCAAGATTATGCCCTACTGTTGGTGTCAGTTGGAGGAATAGTGCCCGATATCACTAGGAGGAATAGTGCCCTAAGGGCCAGATAAAGGCTAGCAAAGGGCCGCATGTGGCCCACGGTCCACGGTTTGGAGACCATCGATTTATGTAGTCTATCCAACAAAGCCTAAAGCCGGCTTTACATGCATTAATTTGGATTAGAGTTTAGCCGATTCTTATTTTTTAGTCGACTTTTGCCGGGACAGATTTTCCCAGCTGAACAACACCTGCTTCCTATCAGATGCAGGCTTTGCTGGCTACTCTGACAGCTGAGAGTGCCAGATGTCAGAACACAAGAGCCAGCACTGCAAATACCTTCATTCATGTGGTTTAGCATGGAAAGTTTAATCGAGTGTTTTCTCTCATTCATCCATTGATTCTCAACAAGAAAAATTGCCAGCATCACTGTAAGCATTCCTGCACAAGTCTATGGAGGTGCAGAGCCCTCTTACGGCCAATTCACACTGACTTATGCTAAAATGTATGGAACATTGCATGTACATTTCCATTCAATTTAGTCGCATTGTAGCGTGTGTGACATCAGACTTCCATTGACATGCTAGCACAGCATTATGGTGTGAATAGGACGCATTGGAAATGATTGTTTTTCAGATGTCCTTCCATTGATCTGCATTTTACAGCTGCACTAAAATGCAGATCAATGCACTGGTGTGAATTGGCCCTTGAGGCTGCTTGCACATTGGGCCGTTTAGCTGCAGTGCACCCAGAAGGGATATGTGCATCATACAGCCCTTCTATAGGCAGCCTGCCAAAGTCTACAGTTAGGTCCATATATTTGGACACAGGCACAATTTTAGATTTTTTCAGGTATTTACCAAAACACATTCAAGCTATAGTTATATAATGGATATGGGCTGAAAGTGCACACTCTCAGGTTTAATTTGAGGGTATGTACATCCAAATTGGAGGAAGGGTTTAGGAATTACAGCTCTTAAGAGTAGCCATCCCCCCTTTTTCAAGGGACCAAAAGTAATTGGACAGTTGAATCAAAAGCTGTTTCATGGCCAGGTGTGGGCTTCTCCTTCGTTATTTCTTCATCAATTAAGCAGGTAAAAGGTCTGGAGTTGATTCTAAGTGTGGTATTTGCATTTGGAATCTATTGCTGTGAACCTACATTATGTGTTCAAAGGAGCTGTCCATGCAAGTGGAACAGGGCATTGTAAGGATTCAAAAACTAAACAGATCCATCAGAGAGACAGCAGCAACACTAGGAGTGGCCAAATCAACAGTTTGATACATTCTGAGGAAAGAAGAAGGCACTGGTGAGCTCAGCAACATAAAAAGGCATGGACGTCCACAGAAGACAACAGTGGTGGATGATCGCAGGATCCTCTCTATGGTAAAGAAAAACCCATTCACAACATCCAGACAAGTGAAGGACATTCTCCAGAAGGTGGGCGTATCATTGCCAAAGTCTACAATCAAGAGAAGACTTCATGAGAGCAAATACAGAGGGTTCACCACAAGGTATAAGCCTGAAGAATAGAAAAGCCAGATTAGACTTTGCCAAAAAACATCTAAAAAAACCAGACCAGTTCTGAAAAAGCATTCTTTGGAGGGATGAAACTAAGATTAATCTGTACCAGAATGAAGGGAAGAAAAAACTGTGGAGAAGACTTGGAACAGCTCATGGACCAAAGCACACAATGTCATCTGTAAAACATGGTGGAGGCAGTGTGATGGCATGGGCATGCATGGCTTCCAGTGGCACTGGGTCATTGATGTTTATTGATGATGTGACAGAAGACAGAAGCAGCCGGATGAATTCTGCAGTGTTTAGAGATATACTGTCAGCCCAGATTCAGCCAAATGCAGCAAAGTTGATTGGATGGCGTTTCACAGTACAGATGGACAATGATCCAAAACACACTGCAAAAGCAACCCAGCAGAAGTGCAATATTCTGCAATGGCTGAGTCAGTCACCTGATCTCAACCCAATTGAGCATGCATTTCACTTGCTGAAGGCAAAACTAAAGGCAGAAAGAACCACAAACAAAGAACAACTGAAGACAGCTGCAGTTAGACCCTGGCAAAGCATCAGAAAAGAGGAAACCCAGTCTTTGGTAATGTACATGGGTTCCAGACTTCAGGCAGTCATTGCCAGTAAAGGATGCTCAACAAAATATCAAAAATGAACATTTTATTTGTCATTATATTCAATTGTTCAATTACTTTTAGTCCCTTGAAAAAGGGGGGGTGGCTACTCTTAAGAGCTGTAATTCCTAAACCCTTCCTCCAATTTGGATGTACATATCCTCAAGTGAAACCTGAGAGTGTGCACTTTCAGCCCATATCCATTATATAACTATAGTTTGAATACATTTTGGCAAATACCTGAAAAGAAACTAAAATTGTGCCTATGTCCAAACATATATGTACCTAACTGTATGTCAGGCTTCAGTTGGACAGGACTGGATGCTGTACCATATGGTACTAGAGTTCAGGGCTCTCAGTTTGGAGATGAGGTTCAAGAGCAGAGAAGACCTGCATTCACGAACCTTATCCCTGAATGCACAATGCCTAAACACAAATCAGATGGAGGTCAACTGCAGATCAAATGTACCTGTCAACGAAATTTGAATGATCCCAGATATGCCTCAAACTGGTGTCATCCACACAAGCCCAAATAACATAGACCATAAGACACACAGAGAAAGGCTCGGCCCGGCCCCCTCCTTAATGGATGTGATTACAGCAGTGGGAGCCAATGGTTCCTGCTGCTGTGTCTGAACCAATTAGGAGGGAGTGATGCGGGAGAGCTGCTGCTCTTGTGCACATTGCTGGATCGAGATTGGGATCAACCTGCACACTAAAGGTTTTTTACCTTCATGCATAGAATGCATGAAGGTAAAAAAAAAACCCTTCAGTCTTTAGAACCACTTTAACCAGTTGCAGACAAAAAAAATGTCATCATTGTCAAGTCCTGTCCTGCTGCCGGGAACACCCCTGTCCCTGTACAAGGCAATTGGATTACAGGACCCAGTGATTGGCGCGAATGGCGGCATGGGTATGGCGCGCCCCTTACCCACCCTTTAAAATTATGGACAGTCCGAAGCACCATTTAAGATTATTCCCAAAGCACCCTTTAAAATTATGGACAGTCCCAAAGCACCCTTTAAAATTATAGACAGTCCCAAAGCACCCTTTAAAATTATGGGCAGTCCCAAGGTAACCTTTAAAATTATGGACAGTCCCAAAGCACCCTTTAAAATTATATGCGCAGTCCCGAAGCACCCAAGGCAACCTTTAAAATTATGGCAGTCCCGAGGCGCCGTTTAAAATTATGGACAGTCCCGAAGCACCCTTTAAAATTATGGACAGTCCCGAGGCACCCTTTAAAATTATGGACAGTCCCGAGGCCCGAGGCACCCTTTAAAATTATGGACAGTCCCGAGGCACCCTTTAAAATTATGGACAGTCCCGAAGCACCCTTTAAAATTTATGGACAGTCCCGAGGCACCCTTTAAAATTATGGACAGTCCCAAAGCACCCTTTAAAATTATGGACAGTCCCAAAGCACCCTTTAAAATTATAGACAGTTCTGAGGCACCCTTTAAACTTATGGACAGTCCTGAGGCACCCTTTAAAATTATGGACAATCCCGAAGCACCCTTTAAATTATGGTCAGTCCCGAGGCACCCTTTGAGGCAAAATTATGGACAGTCTTGAGGCACCCTTTAAAATTATATCCCGGACAGTCCCGAGGCACCCTTTAAAATTATGGACAGTCTTGAGGCACCCTTTAAAATTATGGACAGTCTTGGGGCACAGTCCCTTTAAAATTATGGACAGTCTTGGGGCACCCCATTCTGAAATGTGAAAAACCATTCTAATAGTTTTTTATATAATGCAGCAACATCCACACATGTAGGACACCAAACATTAGATGTGAATTATTCTTCTAAAGCAAATACACTTTTGTACACTGGTACTGACTAGTATTCCGATGTTTCTCTTCTCCCTCAGTTTTTCTCCATCACTGAGCTAATGTGACCCCAGCATGGATGGAGAGGGGCAGGGGACAGTCAAACTAGGATGCTGTGCAGGCAGCTGACATCCTTCTTGTCAATTGATGATGTCATTGGTTGTGAGGATGTCGGAGACTAGAAGGTTGTAATGGCTTTTATAAATGTTTTGGACAATTTTTAGACATTTTGCCAAGGCACCCCTGAAGAAACCTCAAGGCCCCCCTGAAGAAACCTCAAGGCACCCTGGTTGAAAAAGGCTGTAATATACCGATGAGGCACAACAAGTGAATGGCACAGTCGTATGCAAGTGAACATTTAGCAGATATGATAACATAGCCATGCAAATATACATCAAACCCACAAGTAGGACCCATAGAAACTAAGTCTGGGTATCCCCATATCCCCCCCCCCCCCACACAAGCATAGTAAATGCAGAGGGTGCAATATACAAATCCTATGGTGTCACCAAGAAAGGAAGAGAGGGAAGGAAGAAAGATGTAGCATGTGTCCACAGGCCAATCCTGTCCGCCTCCAAGCCATTATGCCGCAGTGAGCTGGAGATGATGAATCCAAGTGTTCCAAACTCTCCCAAACCTCGAGGACGTATCTTTCAAGATGCTGAGCAGATTCTCATTAAGCATGATCCACGTCAATTTATGTTTCATAAGAGCCAGAGCCACTACTGGGCTTTTCCAGGCAGTTGCTATGGCGATTCTTGCCGCAAGAAACATAAAAAGTATCAAGGTATGAGAGTGTCTGGGAACACCATCACCAGATTCATTAAAAGGAAAATTTAGGGTTCTTGGCAATATTTACCATGGTCCACGATTAGGTCCAGGCATGTACTCTCATCCACGGCCACCAAATATACTCCAATGGACACAGTTTTATTGGTGTTTCATAAAGCAGCATTACACGATTATCTGCTACCACCCAAGTCTCTTTCCTAATACCTCCTAGGTGGTACCCACTGGAGAGGACAAGTGCGGGCTAATGAACCCAGAATGGGGGGTCTACTCATCTGCTGTGTCCAAGGGCTGAAGTCCAATACAGAGCAGGGGTGCTGTCCGCACAAGGAACCCACTTACTAAGTTAAGGGGTCATTTAAATCTGGGGAGTGAGAAACCACATGGAGGAGCGGGGGTGTTGTCACCTTTGAGTGAAGAACTGTCACCATTTACACTTTGTTTGCATTGTTTTAGCACATTAATGAGATTGACGTAGGAAGAGGAGGAAGGGGTTTTGTAGTTCTGATAACAAGTGTTATATGTCTGATTAGAATTTCACTGTGGAGAGTAGGGATATATTGTTTTGCACAAGAGCACTTTATATTCCTTGATGAGTGGGGGAGGTGTATTATAGTACAATCATTTTATATTATTTTTTTCCTCTTTACACTGCCGTACCATAACTTTTTTTTTTATACAAACTTTATTTGAAGTGCACAAAAGTACACTTCATTCATGGCGCTGCACTGGTGTACACTGTCATGAGGTTCTGTACATATAATGCTGCGATACAATGCAACATGCCGGCATTTTAGCACAGCTCCGGGTGCGTTGCAATGTGAAGGAGACACACAGGGAAGAATGGTGCTCTGTGTCCTTGTGATGACAGGAATCTGCTCCCTGTCTCTGCAGAAGGAAGTCTGTGACCGGCAACACAGACACCCAAGTCACATCAGCCTGACACATTCTCTGAAATCATACTATTCCTCCAGATTGTGACACAGGAGGAATCTATATATACAGCATGGTTCACCTGAAATCATCACTACCTACCTGAGCATGGCACCCCAATATCTACTTACCTGAGCATGCTCCCCCATCATTACCTGCCTGAGCATGCCTCCCCCCATCACTACCTACCTGAGCATGCCTCCCCCCATCACTACCTACCTGAGAATGCTCCCCCATCACTACCTGCCTGGCCATGCTCCCCCATCGCTACATACCTGTGCATGCCCCCCCCATCGCTACCTACCTGAGCATGCCCCTCCATCGCTACCTACCTGAGCATGCCCCTCCATTGCTACCTACCTGAGCATGCCCCCCTATCGCTACCTACCTGAGCATGCCCCCCTATCACTACCTACCTGAGCATGGCACCCCAATATCTACTTACCTGAGCATGCTCCCCCTCATTACCTGCCTGAGCATGCCTCCCCCCATCACTACCTACCTGAGCATGCCTCCCCCTATCACTACCTACCTGAGAATGCTCCCCCATCACTACCTGCCTGGGCATGCCCCCCCATCGCTACATACCTGTGCATGCCCCCCCCATCGCTACCTACCTGAGCATGCCCCTCCATCGCTTCCTACCTGAGCATGCCCCTCCATTACTACCTACCTGAGCATGCCCCCCTATCGCTACCTACCTGAGCATGCCCCCCTATCACTACCTACCTGAGCACGCCCCCCATCGCTACCTACCTGAGCATGCCCCCCCATTGCTGCCTACCTGAGCATGCCCCCCCCCATCACTACTTACCTGAGCATGCCCCTCCATCACTACATATCTGAGCATGCCCCCCTATCACTACATACCTGAGCATGCCCCCCATTGCTACCTACCTGAGCATGCCAACCCATCACTACCTACCTGAGCATGCCCCCACATTGCTACCTACCTGAGCATAACCCCCCATCACTACCTACCTGAGCATGCCCCCCCATAACTACCTACCTGAGCATGCCCCCCAATCACTACATACCTGAGCATGCCCCCCCCCCCATCACTACCTACCCGAGTCCACCCCTCTCCTCCAATCACTGCTTACCTGAGTCTGTCCTTGTCGGTCCTCCTGAGCCTGTCGTCCCGGTCCAGCACCTCCAGGATCTTGCTGGCTTCTTCCTCCTGTAGGAAGCTGAGGTCCAGGCTCTCCGCGTCCGCTCCGGTCATGTCTGTGTCGGGGATCGGTGTGCTGCCTATCTCCCGGTCATTCCTCCGGTCTCAGCCTCCTCCGGACACCGCTCCCTACAACTCCGCACCTGCAGCCGGGACACTCCAGCAGACTGACAGCCGCCACAGCCAATCCGTGCTGAGCAGGGTGGGAGGCGCACCAATGAGCATCGGGGGCGTGAGTGAGTGAAAGGTGTCGGAGGTGATCGGGTAGGAGCTGTCAGTGGTGTCACCGTGATAATAGAGCTGGGCCAGTCCACACCTCTGCACACTGAACACGATGTGCGATCTACAACCTCCGTGACTCATCACTCCACCTGCTGCAACCAGTATTACACGGGATCGATGGGATACATACATTGTACGACCACACACGTCCTTTCAGCATTGCTGCTTTATGCGATTCCGAGGGCTACAGCCTGCAAGGGCGTATTTACTAAGATGTCTGCGTATGCCTTCAACCCCTTGGCATCAAGGCAATGCTCCTACCCCTGAGCACCATACAAAATGGCCATACACCGGGGAATCGGATATCTCACCCCATATTAACTGCCACTCTTCTTGTTCTCATCTCTCTTTAAGGTTGGCCATACACCTTCAGATCTGATTGTATAATCCTCTTTAGATATAATGGGGGTAATTCAATAAAGCCGCTATGACACTTTTCTGGCCTCAATTTCTTTTGTTAATGTGTTGCGCCTAATTCAAAAAACATCTGCAACAGTTTTGGTTCTGATAGCCACCTGCACCAAATTCAAACTAAAGTACAGACAGTTCTTATCTGAAGAAAATAGTGGAAAAAATAAATAACAAAGTCAGCAGCTACAAAAACTGTAGCTGCTGATATTTAAAAAACAGCCACTTACCTGTCCTAGGATCCAGCGGTGTCCTCACCACAGCCCATTTCACCAGCCGTCCTCGCTCCCCCAGTGCCAGCATCTGAAAGCGGAACTATACTCACCTCAGTTCCAGCGATGCATCCTCCCTCCGCTACCCGCCCGGCCGATGACTTCTTCAAGTGGCTGCCTTCCAGGTCTGGAACGCTGGCCACTGACATTGACCGGGCAAGGATGACATGACTCCTGCGCATGCATGGGAGTTCCATCAGATTCGGCATTGCCAAATTTGTACAGTTAGCTGGGCACGTGTGGCTCATTGTATGGGGGTGGACAGGCAGGTAAGTAGCTTTAATGCAGAAGAGAAGAAGCACGTCATCTGCATTACAATGTCTGCCTGTCTGTCTGATAATTGTTTAGTTAAAGTTCCTTTTTTAACACTATAGAAGCACAGATGAGATGTGTTTCCGGATACGTGCTTTTTGATGCATTTTTGTCACATTCCGGTGCATTTTCGATGCTTTCCAGTCCATTTTCTCCCCTCTCTTTTTCTTCAATTTAAAAAGGAACATGTCCATTCCAGTCCATTTTTTCCCCTCTCTTTGTCTTCAATTTAAATAGGGACGTGTCCGTTCCAGTGCATTTATGGTGCATTTTGGTGCATTGCAATGTGTTTTTGATGCGTTTTACCACGTTACAGTACAGTTTTGTGTAGTAAAAATGCAGCCTTTTCTACTTTTTTTTCTACATCCGGAACGCACTGGAACTGCAAGCACTGATGTGAACTATGACATTGACAACCATATAACCTACTTCTTGTGCATTTTGGATGCAGAAAAAAGCAACTGAAATGCATGTAGTGTGAACTGGCTCAAAGCGTGGGCGTCTGGCTAGGACAGCTTGCAGCTTCACATCTAGGAGCCCACTGCATGCGCACATGTAGCACTGCACCTTGTGAATGGTCCCATAATCTTCCGGGACTTGTCACGCGTACCAGAAAACTACAGGGGGTGGGAGGACAACTTCCACTTACGAGTGGTTGTCACACAGAGGTTGGAGCAGGTAACTGTCAAGTTGGATACCCCCCACTCCCCAAAGGTGCAATTTCCACATGGGCAGTGGAGGACCAGTACTTAAAGAACTTCCCCTTTTGGGTGGAGATCCACTTTAAGACTAACCTTCTTTTGGTGTACAGAGAGAGCTATTGTGAAAGTGTCCCGCATGCGTTCTAAAAGTATCTCAGCATGCACCAAATAAAGGTACAAGTTCTAGACAGGTACATGAATTTGGCAAATGCATGTTAGACACTTTCACAAAATCTGTCTGTGCCAATCTATAAGAATTCCAGGGACAAGAACCTGCCTGATGAGATATCAGATTGAATGATTGTTTTTGGAGGCCCTGATACTACACTGTTTCTTGGAGATTTAAATCTATTATACAATCTGATTGTAATGTATGGGGCCAGCCTAACCACTTGCTGACCAGTCTCATACCTGGTCTGTCACTAGACTTCAAGTGGTTGTACAAGGATGATGCCTGCAGCTGTAGGCATCATCCCAGTACTGTTTTCTATTTTTTTTACATTATATCTTTTTTAACATTTTTATTACAATACATAAAACAGCCATATATCTTTTGTCATAACATATACATCCACTTTAACTCCATTCCCACCCCCCCCCCCCCCCCCCCAGAGCCTCCCCCCGATCCATTTACCCCTGTCCAATTGAATCTTGCCATCTCTTTCCCCTTCTGTTTAGCGATCTGTATCTGCAACCCTATTTTCTATAATCTAGTTAACCAGTTTGATTCCCCAACTCTACTACCAGGGCACCCCTCATTTTCAGATATTTTGCAGATGTTTTAAATTCATACCACCTACTCCATTCTTTTCTAACTTTTTCCATTTTGTCTTCCTCCATATGGCATAGCTTCTCCATCCTATTAATATAATCGATTCTATCTATCCAGTCCCTTGTTGCTGGAGGGTCCTGAACCTGCCAACATTTAGGGATCACACTTTTTGCCGCACTAATTAGATGGTACAATATGCTATTTTTATATTGTTTCACTGACATCTCTGTCTTATAAAAAAGACACTCCCACAGATCCTTCTGAATAGATGTCCCCCAAATCTCCTGTATATATTGAATTATATCTTGCCAAAACACCTGTATCCTAGGACAGTCCCACCATATGTGAGCCATTGTCCCTATTGCCCCACAACCCCTCCAACACAATGGTGATATTTCTCCTCATTGCTTATGTGACACACTCGGTGTACAATACCATCTAGATAAACATTTATAATTCATTTAAACTGTATTCATATTCATCGCCCCGTGCATTCACTTAAACATTTTAATCTTCTATCGATCATTTATTTTTGTACCCCATTCTCTTTCCCATTTATCCAAGAATCACGGACGTTCAGCTCCCATCAATTCACTTAAGATCTTATAAATCCTGGAAGTTATATGTTTACATGCTATCTTAAAGCTCAAATAACCTAATTCCCTTTCCCTCCAAGTAAATGGAAAATCTTCTTGTAAATTCATCCTCTCTGCCTTTGACACGTTAATATATAAAATCTCAGATTTTGTGGGGTTTATATTCAGATTAGATAACTCTCTGTAGTGTTTTAATAATCCCATTAAATTAGGCAGCGTCATTCTAGGATTCACGATGGAGAACAGCATATCATCTGCGTTCGCTGCTACCTTATGTTCTACTCCTATCTTAAGTCCTGTAATATTTATGCATTTCTTACCGATGCCAAAAGTGGTTCCAGGGATAAGACAAACAACAGCAGGGATAATTGGACATCCCTGCCTGGTTCCGTTATACATTCTAAAGGTCCCAGGCAGGGACCCATTAACCTTCACCACTGCTGATGGGTCATTATGAAGCCATTTTATCCACTTCAACATTTTTTCCCCTATTCTCACTGATTCCAGCATATTTATCATGAATCCCCAATCTACCCTATCAAATGCTTTTTCTGCGTCAATTGACAAAATCATTGTCGGCTGACTGCCTCTTTTTGCTTTTTGCAGAAGAAGCAGTGTTCTGAAACCGTTATCTCTTCATTCCCTTCCTGTGATAAATCCTACCTGATCTAAATTTATCCATTCCGGCATCAGTTCTTTCAACCTGGTAGCTAACACTTTCACAAACAATTTAGTATCAGTATTTATTACTGATATGGGTCTATAACTAGCACATTGTCAACTATCTTTCCCTTCTTTAAGAATAATTGTTATAAATGCGTGCAATGATTCTTCTCTCATTTCTGTTCCCTCCCCCAATGCGTTATTATATCTACAAAGTTTAGGGACCAATAACTCTTTACATTTTTTATAGTACCCTACCGTATAACCATCAGGGCCAGGGCTCTTTCCTCCTGCCGTACTCTTCAGGGCTGTTCTAATTTCATCCTGGGAAATAACTCGTTCCAGGGATGCTAATTTATTTTTAGCAATTTTTGGTAAATCTGCTGCCATTAAAAAGTCTTGCCTTCTCCTCCTCTTCTCTTCCTCTGTTACTTTTTGGTTTATAGGGTTCACTTCATACTGCCTATTATAAAACTTTTGAAACATATCGGCACTACCAGTGGTAGAATAAATCAGCTCCCCATTATAGTCCTTAATTTCTTCTATATAATTCTGTGATTTCTTTTCCTTCAATCTTTTCATCATAAATTTTCCTGGTCTATTTCCCCACTGGTATCTTTCTTTTGATACTCTATTAAATATTTTCCTCGTTTCCTGTTCTAATAGGTCCTTCAGTTCTTCTCTTTTAAGGGTAATCTTCCAGTGCAAATCTGTATCCTGCTATGTTGGCTCTGAGGAAGAGGGTTTCCCTTGAAACCCATCAGCCTTTCTTTGGCCCTTGGATCGCACTTTTTTATTTTGGGGCCCTTGGTGCCATATGGAGCATATTTCCAATGATTGTCATTTGTTATGCAATTTGTCACTTCTTGTTTTTGAGTATATTTTAACTTTCATTCAATAAACTGTCATCCTGCAGTTACTCCTGACTTCTCCTGTTGTACACGGGAGTAGCAAGGCTTGGCTTATCTGCTCGAATTTCACATTTATTTGGGTTCCACTATACCTCCCTGTCTTCAGCCCTCTATACTCATGCGCAGGAGCTTTTGGCTTGATTTTATACACCTGTGGCCATGGAGGCGATTGGAACACCTGAATCCAATGATTTGGAGGGGTGTCCCAATACTTTTGGCAATATAGTGTATGTTTCCCCCAATGTCACCAAAGGCCTGCATATAAACATCAGTGAATATTCATGATCAGAGACAGCAGACACTCAAATACTATGGTAATGATACAAGAAACTGTGGACATAATACAGGCGATGGTCAGAGATTGTGGATATGATATTAGAGATGGTCAGAGACTGTGAACATAATACAGGAGATAGTCAGAGATTGTGGATATGATACTAGAGATGGTCAGAGACTGTGAACATAATACAGGAGAAGGTAAGAGATTGTGGATATGATACTAGAGATGGTCAGAGACTGTGAACATAATACAAGAGAAGTTCAGAGATTGTGGATATAATACTAGAGATGGTCAGAGACTGTGAATATAATACAGGAGATGGTCAGAGACTGTAAACATAATACAGGAGATGGTCAGAGACTGTGAGGTGATTTACTAAAGGCAAATAGACAGTGCACTTTGCAAAGTGCAGTTGCTCTCTGAAAGTGCAGTTGCTCCAGAACTTAGTAAATGAGGTACAGCTTATTTTTGCAAATACCCATTACGTGCAAGGAAAATAAAAAAAAAACAGCATTGGATGATGGAAGTCATCAGCCGTCTACACATTTACTAAGCTCTGGAGCAACTGCACTTTGCAAAGTGCACAGTCCATTTGCCTTTAGTAAATAAACCCCTGTGAATGTAATAGAGGAGATGATCAGAGACTGCAGACATATAATATAAAACAAATGACCAGGTGGATTGTCTTATGTACATGTATCAATTTAGAGGTTGTAAGAAGTAAAATGTCTCACAGTCTAGTAAGGATCTCCACTCACAGAACAAGAAGAGGAAGGACCCTGCTCATCACAGGACAGGCTGGACGACACTTGGAAATAAAGGGCATCTAAAACTCTAAATATTGTTATTTACTACATTTTGCAATCCTTAGATGTGATGGCTGCATTCATTTTTTTTTTTTTAGTTTTTTTTTTCCCTTACTTTTTCACCTGGTGATCCTGCCTGTAAGTCTGTTATTTTTTTAACTTTCTGAACAAGCTGTCCAGTAAAAATGCCAGTTAGAAGGTTGAGACAAGCCTCTGACAGGGGTGCTTACGATGATGAGCTTTAAGAGCTGGTTCACACTGGATGCAACTTGGCATGCGATTTGCATGCCCTGCAACTTGCAAATTGCATGCCAAGTTGCACCCTATTGCCCGCTATCAGAGCGGTCATATCGGTGCGGTTCCGACTTGGTTGGAGCTGCACCTGTTTCAAAAGTAGTACATGTACTACTTTTGTTGCGATTTGTATAGACATCTGTGTCAGATGTCTTGCAAATCGCAAAGAAATCAGCATCTCACCAAATTTTGAAATCGTGCAACTTCACTGTAAGTCGCACAATTTCAAAATCGGATTTGATGTGAATGGAGCCTAAGCCCTGGTTCACACTGAATGCACTTTGAAACCACACCTACTTCACTTGAAGTAGCACAATTTCAAAGCTGCAGATCAGTGCGATTTGTACCTCCGATTTCACTGTGACTTGCAACTTCATTAAACAGAAGTCAATGCAAGTTGCAATGAAATTGGAAAAAAGTAGTGCAGGAACTATTTTTGAAATCGCCAGGCTCAGATCTCTGTCCCTAAATGCAGCTATCAGCTCTGTGTG